TAAATAATAGATTTTTAGGCTCACCTTATTTTATAATGGATTTTTACAGTTATAATCAATTTTTATAATACGTTCAATTAAGTATAATTTTTTAAGAACATTTTGATTTTTAGTTCAAATAAATCATTAAAATTAGTTCAGTTCTAAATATATTAATTGTAGAATATATTTAAACATCTAGAGTTACATAGAAATAATTACTATGATTCTGTGAGTCTTTTATTGTATTAATGTTATTAGTTCAAATTTGCTTTAAATAGCCACGTTAAATTTGTATTTTAATTAAGTAGACAGGTACTTAGGGCTACTTTTTTTTTTTGTATTACGCTCACTAACTTGTTTGTACGACTCCCAGTTAAGTCTTCATTAATTTTTCATTCTATAAACACAGTTATTAGTCTTTTTTTTTTTTCATTACTCAATTTTTATCAAAAATAATTTTAGTCCAAGATGTTTTTGAAAGTTTTACATTAAGTATGTTTTATATATTGAAAATATTTTGCAATACAAATGATAAATTTATTAGTGTTCACAAAAGATCACAAATCGTATCTAGTTGAAGACATTACCCTCAAAAATTGAAAATCTGTCTATCGTATTAAAAATCTTCAAAAAAAAATACAAATTTAAAAATTGCTAATTTTTGACATTTTTTCAATTTTTTTTACTTAAAACTGCCATAACTTTTTCAAAAAGCTTGATGTCTTTACCTATCATTTGGTATATTTTTTTTATAAATTTAATTTACTTACCCACAAGGGAGAATTCAAAATGACAACTTTTTCATAAAAAATGAACTTTTTCAACTTAACTTTTGAAGTATTCCATAACACGACTTACGTCGCAAAAATGTGGTCGACACTGGTTTTGAGGGTTAAGACCCGTGGACCGTTTATTAATGAGCAACAACAGGTTATTTTAACAAAAAAATAAAACAAACCGAAAAGATGAACACTGTAATAATAATCTTCGCATAATATCGCGGCACTTTCGCTGGCGTCGACGACGCGATGTCCGGCGTGATCCTCGGGCGTCAAAAGGTTAACAGTGTTGATGGCGACGTTGCGGATCGGTTCGTCAACGTTGTCACTCTAACAACGGGAAGAAGACTCCCGTATCATTTGCGGCGGGTGGTCGTCGGCCGTGCGGCATTTGCTGGACTTTGCACCGTAGCGTATGACACGCGGTGTTGGTCAGTCAAATACTCATAGTAGGGCGACGACCGATAAAGGTGACACGAGTCGCGGGGCATCTTGTATAACGAAGCGACGCGAGCCGTATCATCCAGAAATACTGAAACTTATATATATATTTTAAATTAAAGCTTATATAATATACTTTATTATGGGAAAAAAACTTTTCGCATGTTATTTTGTCTTCGCAGTGAAAATGACTACCTTATGCTATTTTTGTGTGTAAAATTCTCGATTTTGTATTTATTTTATTTAAAAATACCTTACAAAATTTTTTGAGTTAGAAAAAAATTTCGCTGTAGTCCCTCCTTGTTTGAAGAAATATCTTATTCATATTAAAGGTTTATTTATTTTCTCAGCTGTCACTCTTGACCAACTTTTTTTAACAATACATCAAATGATCACCACTATATTTTAGTTAAAGATATTACCCTAATAAATTTCCAATTTATCAATTTTAAATTTACTTAGCTCACATTCTCCATATAGATAATTAAAATCTTTCATTTTTAATATTTTTAAAGTATTTATTGTCGAATTAGGCTTGATATGATAATAGATTTCAATTACAAAAGTAAATCATTTTACTTTGTAATATATTAATTTTTAACTTTATTTGTGTGTTACTAACAGTTTATAATATTCTAATTTTTTGGTAATATGTTTCTATATAAATCATAAATCTAAAAAAAATGATTTTTATTTGCACCTAATTTAACAAATTTTACAATTATAATCAAATTTTATAATGTACTCAATTATGTAGATTTTTTTAACAACATTTTGATTGTTTTTTTTAGTTAAAGTAAATCATTAAAATTAATTATTTTCTGAATGATTCAATTGTAGAATATTTTTTAACACCAAAAATTACTTAGAAATGATTACTATGATTTCTATTTAAGTGATCTATTACAATAAAAATTCAAACAAAATATTAAGCTTTTCTGATAAATTTACAGTAAATAGTAATTATACAATTTCGTAACTGCATATTAATCATAACAATACTATTTTTTTATCTCATAAAATTTTCTATTTAATAATGTAAATTTCAAACTTGAAATTGAGCTAAAAGTTATGGTAACAAATTCAACTTTTTTTATTATAAAATTTAAAAAATCAACTTTAAAATACCAAAAAAAAATAGGTTAAAAATTATATTTTGCACTAATTATTTTTAAAATATTAGATATCAAAATTTTTATAATTTAAAAACAATTTTATTGTTTTTAATTTTTTTTTTTTATCATAATAAATTCTATCAAAAAAAAATATTAATAATTGCTATGTAACTCTTGGTGATGATACAATTGAAATATTCAGAACTATTTCCCTTATAGTTATATGCTATAGTTTTTAACTAATTATTAATAATATCAAAAATGATTGGTGATGGAAAACATATATTACTGATTTGAAATTAGGACGAAAAATTGAATAATAAAAGTATCTTTTTTACTCTGATGAAAAGTTTTTGCAGACTATTTATTCATAATTAACAAAAAATTATTACATAAAAAATTCTGTATCAACCCCTTCAATTTGTATATATGTTTTCCATAAAAGTAATAATTAATTTATAATTTTTTATAAATTCTCCGAAAAAATTATAATACTAAATTATTAATTATCAATTTTATACTACATTGAATTGTTTTAATACATATTTATTCATAAATTATACTTATATATTTACTACTAATTAGGAATATTTTAAAATAATCAACCAATTTCTTAAATTAAAGACTATCTAGATTTGCATCGAAGCGTTTTTTATGATAGTGATTTTAATCACTGTCAGATATCATCTATTTTTATTATTTTTATATAGCTACTTATTACTTGGCCATCTATAACTTCCGATTAGCGTAGGTGATTTGTGGTTCTTGTATTTTGGTCAGAAGACTCCTCTCTTCTATTATATACAGCTCACTTCCTATTTAGAGTTACAGATGCGCTTCAAGTAGCTTGCAGTTTAATGCCTGCCACNCGCTTCAGGTAGCTTGCAGTTTATTGCCTACCATACATTTTCTCAAGAACAGGACCAAATATAGTCACTTAATTTCTTTTGTTTTCGAATGACCTCATTTTTATAAGAATATCACAAGAAATATTTTTGAAAATTTGTATTAATTAAAAAAATTCTACGCCTTTTTATATGCTCTTATATATTCTTTTTACGATTTGACGCTTAAAAATTACTAATTAATGTTGCTTCATAAAAAATAAAATGGTTTTTTAACCAGTTGTATAACTTGTTATTACGTCTAAAGGTACATATTAACATAGCATTTAGAGCACATGATCATGGTGACATAAATCCATTTGACGGGAAATTGGGTGTTTTTGCTCACACTCTTACTCCAAGTAGAGACAATGTACATTTTGATGATTCTGAAATATGGACAACGGGAACAAAAAAAGGTAAAATTAATGATTTTTATAACATAACTTTAACTGAATAATGTAAAAAGAATACTGGCTCAGTAATAAATATTACTAATTAGTTTTAATTATTGTTATCTTGCTTCCTCATTCTGCCCAAAACTTTTAAGGCAATAATTTAGTCTATTATAATCATTTTAATTGTATTAAGGGATTTCCTTAGCTGTAAATCACGTTGTCAATTCATATAGGAGTGTATATTTTCTTCTTCTGAATTTATGATTCATGTTCATTCAGTAGTATAATTTGTTGCTTTGGGTCGCAGGACCTAACCCGTTCCATGACTCATTTTTTTACACGATTTCCCGTACATTTTCAATGACGAGCTTTCAATTTGAAACAAGTGTTGAAAGTTTCAACCCCTGTCAATACACTTAAAACGTTAAATTTTTTATTTTAATAGCAATAAATATGTAAATGTTTTACATTTTAAAATAAAAGATTAGAATTTTTTTTTTTTAAATATGAAAATGATAATAATTAATAATTACATTTATAGGAACAAATTTATACCAAGTAGCATTACATGAATTTGGCCATATGTTAGGATTAGATCATACTCGAGTGAAATTTGCAGTGATGAGACCAGTTTACCCAGGATACCATCCAAGTGCTAAATTAAAAAATGATGATATTGAAGGCATTCAAGTAATTATATCTATAATATTATAGGTCTAATCACACTTTTTAAAAAATAGATAAATAATTAAAACATTGTCGGATTCAAATTTTTTTTGTAATAAACTAAACTAATTTGCCGTACTAAAATAAATTACACTACATTATTTTTTTAATAATTANATAGATAAATAATTAAAACATTGTCGGATTCAAATTTTTTTTGTAATAAACTAAACTAATTTGCCGTACTAAAATAAATTACATTACATTATTTTTTTAATAATTAAAAAATATACCACAGGAACTGTATGGTGAGAATAACGTGATGGATTCATATGAAAAACAAATATCTAAAAGACACACTTCTAATCAAAATAATAGTGTTGATAATTTTAATAATAGACATTGTAAAGTTTTTAATATTGATACAATATTTATATCAAACTCAGGAGAAATTTATATGTTTAAGGGTAAGACATTTTCACGATTTTTTATTTTAAATTGTTTCTTTTAACATTCTTTAATTTTTATAATTTTTTTAGGATGATTCTTATTTTTCAACTTTTAATAGTTTGATTCTTTTTTTGTCACNTGTTTCTTTTAACATTCTTTAATTTTTATAATTTTTTTAGGATGATTCTTATTTTTCAACTTTTAATAGTTTGATTCTTTTTTGACATAATTAGTTAAACATTGTTAATATAATGTTAGTATATTATCATACTGGTTCTATCGGATACTTAAAGTGATTAAAAATAGATTAAAATAATTTTATCGTGCCAAATCGGGATGGTACAGTGAGAGTTCGTATTTTGTTGTTGTATTTTGTTTGTCATGTTATGACCGTGACCTGCCCTAACAGGTTGCTGTTAGAGTAGTGTGTGCGATGGTCGTGAATGGTGTCACTTGCGTACAAGTGTGCCATTGCATGCTTTGCGGCAGTGGATCTAGGCTTAATCACGAGACTAAGTAATTCAAAGTTTTCGTTATGAACAGAATCACGAAATTTGCAAATTATTACCATAATTGAAATGAGCATATAATAATTAAAAAAATAATTAGTCGGAACCAGTATCACGTGTTTTATTACCAGTGAAATTGTAGGTCTGCGAACTACATGTCAAGGAATCACAGTTTCTTCAATAGGGAAAAAATAAATGGCTTCAATGTTCTTGTTAATGGTGGCTCTAGAAGACATAGCGGAATTGAAAGCAACGCAAAGGCTTACATACTCAAAAGAATGAAGTATTGGATGTTCTTATTCTACGATGCTCATCATTGTAGAAAATTCAAAGAAAGTTTGCATATTGTTTAAGAATCAGAAAAAGTAATCAGCGTGGACCATTGGAGAGAGCAGAATTGGATCACACTCTTGTCACAAACGGACTCCTCAATAACGCAAAGTACACTTGCACAGTAAGCACTATTTGTAGATCCACAAGGAATCATTCACGTTGGTAGAAAAATCAAACATGCCTTAATGTCAGAAAATTCAAAACACCAAATTTTACTTCCAAAGCGATAGCATTAGATATAGAGCATGATATCTTAAATTCACTAACCCAGCTAATTATGTCATGGCCACTTGGAAAAGTCATGGATGTTTACCTGAGTCAATATAACGTAGTGTGTCTCGTTACCGTTAAGACAGTGGACAGCGTCTTAAAGCAGCCTGTGTTTAGGTTGATAAAACTACTAGTTAAACTTTCTTTCTCCTTATCCCTATGCGCTCTTTTATAATGAAGTATAATAATAAGTATTTATTCTAGTTTAGTTCTTAAATTATTCGGTCCACAATATTGCTTAAGTTCATTCAATTATATATATATAGGATGTTTAAAGAGTAATGAAATGGGTTTCTACTGTTCTCATTGTTTGTGACACGACTTACGTCACAATAATGTAGTCGACACTGGTTTTGGGATAGAGACCCATGGGATGTTTATTAATAAGTAACAACAGATTATTTAAAAAACAAACAAACTGAAAGGACGAACACAGTTAATAATAATCTTCGTATAATATTGCGGCACTTTCGCTTGCGTTGGCGACGCGGTGTCCGGCATGATCCTTGGCGTCGAAAAGTTAGCAGCGTTGATGGCGACGGTGTGCAGATGCGAACCGGTTCGTCGAATCCGGTCGTGTGGCACGCCCGGGGACGGTGGCGTACATTCTCGACGTTGTCACTTTGACAACAAGAAGAAGACTCAACGTATCGTTTGCGGCGGGTCGCCGTCGTCCGTGCAACACTTGCTAGACTTTGCATATATGACAATATGCAATATGCAATATGTTGGTCAGTTAAATATTCATATTAGGGCGACGGCTGACAAAGGTGGCACGAGTCACGGGGCATCATGTATCTGGAAGCGAGGCGGTACCGTGTTATTTGTAACAACTGACTTGTTTCCTTACTTATTGAACACTCTCTCTCTATACATATAAGTCTTTTTTTTTATGTTTAATAAATGTTTTGACCAAAAAAATGACTCCAGAGAAAATTTGAAAGAAAACTTTTAACGGCAGGAGTATGTTCGGTCGTGCCAAATCGACTTAGCTGTTAAAAATATTAATATGAGATATAATAATGCTATATTATCTTACGTTGTTTAAGTTACTAATCATAAACTAAACTATCAATGATTGTTATTGTTGTAATTTGTTAATAGCATAAAATATACTTCACAAAATGTTAGATTTATTAATTAAATTTATTTTAATTTGACTTTACAAAGATCATCAAAGATGTAAACCTTCAATTGACTAATTGTCGCCCGAGTAGTTACTTAATACACTCATTATACAATCGACCCGTTTCCTTACTTTTTGAATATTCTGTATGTATGTATATGTATATATTAAAACATATTTAGTATTATGTTA